GGAGGGTCCCCGCCCGGCCAGGCCCCCTTACTCCTACTCGGCGCTGATCGCCATGGCCATCCACAGCGCGCCCGGCCGCCGGCGCACCCTCAGCCAGATCTACCAGTACGTGGCCGAAAACTTCCCTTTTTATAAGAAAAGCAAAGCCGGCTGGCAGAACTCCATCCGCCACAACCTCTCCCTCAACGACTGCTTCAAGAAGGTCCCGCGGGACGAGGACGACCCGGGTAAGGGGATGGGGATGGAGTTGGGGATGGGGCTGGAGATGGAGATGGAGATGGAGATGGAGTTGGAGATGGAGATGGAGATGGAGATGGAGATGGAGTTGGAGTTGGAGATGGAGATGGAGTTGGAGATGGAGATGGAATTGGAGATGGAGATGGAATTGGAGATGGAGATGGAGATGGAGATGGAGATGGAATTGGGGATGGGGCTGGAGATGGAGATGGAATTGGGGATGGGGATGGAGATGGAGTTGGAGATGGGGATGCTGATGGGGATGGACACAGAGATGGGGATGCTGATGGGGATGGACACGGTGATGGACACGGTGATGGGGCTGGGGCTGGGGCTGGAGTTGGAATTGGAATTGGAGTTGGAATTGGAGTTGGAATTGGAGGTGGAGATGGAGGTGGAGATGGGGATGGAGATGGGGATGGAGATGGGGATGGAGATAGGGCTGGAGTTGGAGTTGGAGTTGTTGGGGATGGGGCTGGAGTTGGAATTGGGGATGGGGATGGGGCTGGAGATGCTGATGGGGATGGGGACCCGGTGGGCGTGTCCCCTCATCTCCTCTCCCTGCAGCGGGGTGCAGAGGCAGCAAGGGGACAACCCGGGGGACCCTTCTCCTCTCTCCACAGGCAAAGGCAACTACTGGACCCTCGACCCCAACTGTGAGAAAATGTTCGATAACGGCAATTTTAGGAGGATGTCCCCTCCTCTCCCTGCAGCGGGGTGCGGAGGCAGCAGGGGGACAACCCGGGGGACCCTTCTCCTCTCTCCACAGGCAAAGGCAACTACTGGACCCTCGACCCCAACTGTGAGAAAATGTTCGATAACGGCAATTTTAGGAGGAGGAGGAAGAGACGGGCCGAAGCCGGAGCGGCCGAGGGGGCCGGGGGCAGTGGTGGGGGCCCTGGAGTGACTGCAGCTCCCCGGGTGCACCGAGATGCACTAACCCACGAGAGAGGCGTATTTTTGTAACGTGTAAAATGTACATTTTTATATATGGTCTATAACTACAGAGAGGTGCAGGAGGCAGGGAGCGGGGATGGGGGTGCGCTGGGGGCCAAGGAGAGCTGGGGCTGGTGGTGGGTGCTGCTTTCCCTCCTTTTTCATACTCTCCCTTCCCACTGAAACCTTGGAAAGGCTTTAACCTCCTGCCATGTGGGGGTCTGGGGTGGCTTCCTCACCTTCACATGGCCAAGAGCAAAGCAGAGTTCCCTGCAGCAACCCAGCCATGAGGGGTCCCTGCTGGGTCATGGAATGGTTTGGTTTGGAAGGGACCTTGATGATCATCATCTTCCAACCCTCCTGCCGTGAGCAGGCACATCTTCAACTAGATCAGGTTGCTCAGAGCCTTGTCCAACCTGACTTTGAATGTTTCCAGGGATGGGGCATCTCCCACCTCTCTGGGCAACCTGGGATGGTGTCTCACCACCCTCATTGTAAAATATTTCCATCTTATAACTGGCCTAAATCTTCCCTCTTTTAGTTTAAAACCATTAACCCTTGTCCTGTTGCAACAGCCCCTGGAAGAGGTGGAGGACCCTTCCCGAGATACAGCGAAGAGACTGACCTTGGAGCTGGGACACCGGTGGTTTCAGGCAACACACATTTTCTTCTGCTTCAGGGAACCAAGCTCTGGATCCAACCGTACGGACTGAACTCCCTATTTTCACTTTGGGACTATTTGCCCTGGGACGATGTGCCATTGCAGCACCCTGAAAATGCAGCAAAAGGCAGAAGAGGAGGGCCCCGGGGGGCTGCAGGTGCTTCAGGTTTTCCCAGCGTGGTCTTTGTTTGCAGCTGAGCTGGGTCCTGGGCTGGGGGAGTCCATGGGTGGCTCAGACCGTGCTGCATTGCCTGAACTTTTCTTCAGGGACCGTTTAAGATGATGATTCAATGTGTACGTGGAGGCCTCCACTTGTATCCCTTTGTGCTTCTGTTGTACTCTAATTCTATTTTTGTGTATTGGAAAGAAAAAGAGGATTTTTTTTAAATAAATCAATCTACTTGGAGCAGAGAAGTTGCAATCCCTCTAAGCAAAAACACTGCTTGTTGTTTATATAGGCAACAACATGTTGCCTATATAAAAAAGAGAAGGGACTGTCATATAATCATAAATCATCTTTTTGGGAGCAGGCACTGCTTGCAAGGTAAAGCTGTGGTTGGTGGATTAGCAGATAATGTGCTGAACATTTAATTCTGGGACCGTGCTTTGGCCCAGCTTCGAGTCCGAAGCCAAGTGGGTGTGGAGGGCTCTCCTCTGCTCCTGGCAGACAACGGTTGTCTTCACAAAGAACAACCAGGCATGGCTTGCTTATCATCCCGGGCAGTTTTTCTTTGTGAAATGGGTTGGACAAAGCTTGGGGAGTCCATAGTGACCTCTGGCTCATACGGGTGCAAGGGATTTCAGTTGTGGGCAAACAGTGTCCGTGGGGTGTCTGCTGAGTTCTCTTGGGAGGGTCTGATGGTGAGTTTCCCAAAACACTTGCTCCCTGTCCCTGCAGTTCTCACTGGCTCAGCAGGCAAGAGAGACAGCAGCTGAAAAGGAGAGACAGAGTTTTCATTTCTTAACAACGTTCCCAAATCTTCATCTATGAATGACTCTACTGAGCTTAAGTCCTTATATTTTAATTTTAGTTGTATTTTAATCTAATTGCAAAAGCAATAATTCTGTGTTTTTAGAGTGATTATCACTTAGGACAAGCCCATAATAAATGCAAACAGAATGTGATAAATCAAATTAATTTCTACTTTTTATTCAATTTGCCATCAGATTCAATACTTGAATGTGATTTGTCTTTGCTAAGCATTATGATTTCCCAGTGCTTTATTATTGTATTATTGTATTATGTATTATTGCTTCCCAGGATTTTTTACTGGCCAAAACAAAACAGGGACTATCACATGTTGTGTAGCTGGACCGTGTGGGTAAAATCAATACACAATCTGAGTTTCCACATTCTAGTCACTGCCTTGGAGTCAGTAGGGCAAGGGCTGGAGGGAAAGCAAGGCTTATGTGCTTGTGACATAAAAATAACAGAAAATTCATCCTTTTCAATAGGTTCCCTGTTGCACAGAAATTCACTCTGCAGGGGATGGCGCTTGTAGTTCTGGTGGCGTCAGAGAAAAATAGAATATAGTGGAAACAGGTTTGATGTGAACGGCTCATCTTGTAATGTGTAGTAATTAATTCATCTCCATTCACCCTGTCTGTTCAAATGGTGGAAGGGTACACCCCCCCCACGGGGGGTCCAGGACTGGGATTTCATGTGGACACCCGAATTCCCTGTCCCCAGCTGTGGGTCCCACCGTTGGGTGGGGGGAACATCATGGGGGACCGGTTCCAGTAAAGCCCTGAATGAAGTATTTGCAGCAGTGGGGGTGGTGGAGGGGAAATGGCCTAATGAAGCAGTGGGAAAATTGAATTATAAGAAGAACACGCTCTGGTATTGGCTTTAAGATCATATGACTGTAAAAGGGGCTACAAATCCTGGCTGCAGCCATAGTGTTTACAAGCCCAACTCACACCTACCAAAAGGGATTAATCTGTTCTTCTCACAAGATCAAACTTTTTTTCTTTCAAAAAGACAACATGGGACTTTGCTGCATTTTTTTTATTGCATTTTTTTTAAGGAGAACACTTCTTTGTCACCTGTAGAACCACAAATAAGAGGGGAAGATTTTTTTATTCTAGGGTGATTACTGCTGTGTCTGCGGAACGATTTCATACTGTTATCTCCATAAACAGCTTAGTTCATTTATAACTGTCAGGTTTTTGATAGAAGTGATACATTTTATATTATTTTCATTAGAGGCTTAACTTGCAAGGTGTTGCTGCTCATGCTGTGAGTTTTCCATCATTTTGCTAAGATGAACTCATAAATTTTTCTTCAGACTAAGAAAAGCCAATGCAAAAAAGGTTTCAGCTACAGTCAGTCACTGGCGTGGCTGCCTGATCCCTTGGCAGCAGATGATCAGCGTAAACTCTCTGCCATGTTTTTAAAATAAATTTATTTTTTTACTGTTCATTTCTAGCTGTTTTTTTCCTTAAAGAGTGTTGTGAAAGATCAATAAATTTTATCAAGAACTTTATGAAATATCGTATAACTCTACCCAGGAGCTTCTCATTTACATTAAGACAATTTTCCTAAAGTCTGACTGTAATTAATGTCTATTTAAAAGTTCTTTACAGCACTCGTGTGTAGGAAAAAGAGATTTGCTCAGATGCTGTCTCATAACATGTGAAATAGGAGCAAGAAGAACTGACAGCTCAGCTTCATTCACTTCTTCCTCTGGATAGTTTTGGAAAGAAAAGCACCACCAAACAAGCAAACAAAAAAAATCACATGATAAGGTTGTTTGGGATAAAAAAAGCCCCCTCTTTCCTGTGAGTGTTTCTTCTGGCAGTATAATAGCTGTGTTGGTATAAAAATGTATGTGCCCATGCTGAGATTTACAGACTATTACTGATGAGGGGGGTAATTTTCAAGGGGACCCCGTGCTTATTTTTTTCCTGGACCCTATAGGTCTTGGCTTGCGTTCAGCTTTCCTGCAAAGCCATTTATCACCCCGTGTTTGACTTCTGCCCGCTCTCTGCTGGAGTGGCCGGGGCTGCCCAGGGCACCCATTAACTCCTGCCCTGGAGCCACCAGGACTGACCCTTCTCCTCTGGCTGGGAACCCTTTTCCTCCCATCAGCCTTGGGGCAGACCCGTTTGGCTTGTGAGGAAGACAGAAGCAGCCTTAAGAAGGAAGAGTTTTAATACCTTAATTAAAGGTTTCAGATTCATATGAGCAATTTTAAACTACAGGCTTTTTTCTCTTTTTTTTTTTTTTTTTTTTTTTTAATACCTTAATTAAAGGTTTCAGATTCATATGAGCAATTTTAAACTACAGGCTTTTTTTTTTTTTTTTTTTTTTTTTTTTTTTCTAAATTACATGGCCCAGCCCTTCAGGTTCCCCTTGTAATCCTGCCGGCGCTCACCGCCTTCCCTTACACTTCTTTTTCACACTTTGGTTTCTGTAATGAGATAATTAAGCATCTCATGGTTTGTTAAGACACAATACATGAAAAAAAGGGTTTTACAGCTGTCGATTCAGGATGGGAAACCAGGTAATCACAGTTTCTTGCTACCTGTTACATACCACCTTACAGGAGACATTTTGTCCTTTTTTAGAGGAAGAAATTGTTCAGAAGATCACACCTATTAAGGATACCATGTGCTTAATTTAATTCCCACTGAAGCGATCAGATTTCAATATTTAAAGTCAAGGAGGTGCTTTAAGTGTTTCCCTGAGTGACCTTATATCATCAGTAGGTGCATTGGATTCATCACAAAAACTGGAACCCATGAAAACACAGAAGAAATCTTAAAAAAAACCCCAACACTTTAATGCAAGCAGGTAAACAAGACACTGCCCAAGTATCCATCACCTTGATTTCTGCTGGCCTGCTAGAGTACTGAGTGCTTTCGTTGCATTTAATGACTGTTATTCAATGAGTGTTTCCTTTTTCTTCATCTACCAAGTACCAGCCACTGGCGAGACCATGGGAAAGGAGAAGAAAGTGTCAGGTAATCCCTCCTTTTAAAGAAAACTCTGCACATGCAGAAGTAAAGTCCACTGACAGTAAAAGGCCAGTTGCAAGTGGGGGCTCCAGCAGGCTGGTTGCCCAGGTCTCCTTAAATTAAACCATGGTGAAGAAAACTCGACCTCCATATGTCAAAATTAATTAATCGAAAGGCATGTGCAGGACAGCAGAAATTATTTTCCATGAAGGTTAATAGCCTAAACGCTTCTGGTGTCCTCTCTTCTCTCTCAGCTGTACCTCTGCTCGTGGTCCAGTCAAAGTTCTCCACACCTGAACTACAAAGGACATCCCAGATGAGGACTGGTGTCAATATTACGGTGTCTATGGGAAATGCAAACAGATTTGGAGGTCTCCTTTCCTCCTGGCCCACAGTCACCATCCAGTTGACCCTGGACCTCAGGTCCTGCTCACACATCAATGTTTCAACGTCCTGTTGAGGAACCCAGCACCTTGAGGCCTCCCACCTCTGGGCACACCAGCTGGGCAGCGTGCTTCTACCTTGTGAGGAATGTTGTTAATGAAGATACTAACGAGGCTGTGCCCTAGACCCACCCTGAACCCTTACAAACACATATCCCCCATTGTGACTGAGCCTTGCACTCACCCACCCTCCCAAGCCACCCTGGGGACGTGCCAATGTCACTCCAAATTTAACTGTCTGAGCTCCCTGTTGCTCGTTTGACACCATTTCTTGGCACTGGGTGGTTTTGTTCAGTGACTGGGGGTTTCCATGTGCTCAGGAAAAGGCAGGGGCACAGGGAACCCTCTGCTGGGAGAGCTGCCAGTTGAAATACAAAAAATTTGGATATCCCTGGGTGCAGCGTGAGCTGCGGCTGCCACTACAATCTCCGTCTCTCACTCCACATTTGTATTTTAAAGGATGGGGTTTAAGTGAGTGGCAGTACTCTGAGGCAGGGATAAATCCATGGTTTGTGCCTCAGGCTTTTCCTGTCATTGCAAATTGTGCTGTGGTGGGTATAAATTCACAGGAGATTTTTTTTTTTTTTTTTAAATCTGCATAGGTACAGTCCAGCACGTTTCTTATCACTGTAAATGAAGGGGAGTAAACAAGAAAAAGGGAAGAAAGCCTACGTAAAGGAGCTTGTCTTTTTGCCAAGAAAAAAGCTGCCTGGAGTCTGTGCAGAAGAAAGGTGGTCAGACTGCGGGGACACAAAGTGCAATTTTAAACAATAGGATATTTCAAACAACCTTAATCTTTCAACCCACAAATCTCTTTTCAAAATGTATCTAGCTTTTAATAATAACAACACATCTTCAAATGCTTCATCAGTTGTGGTTTTGATCCATCTAAAGTTAAATGGAAAAGTATAACAGTGATTTAGTGACAAACTGATGGCAACAATTCTTTTTAGCACTCAAAAAAAGCAATATTAAGGATACAGAATAAACTGCTGGTTTTTATCTAGTGCTAAAGTATGACTCATTAATGTTTCAAGTCAAGTTTCTGCTTGTAGGGTACAATGCTTTGTTTCATAACAATGCATTAGTGACAAATTTTGATACTTTAATACACTATTCCCTCCTTCAATGGTTAATTACTACAATTAGCCTCCTGTGTAGTAAATTCCTTCTCCCTCCCATTTCCCAGCCACGAGACAACAAGCACAGAGCTGAAAAAATACTTTTGTCTTTGCCATTTGGTCCTTGAGAGGGGTCTGCAGAGGAGCAACCCTTGGCTTTAATTGGGAGGATTATTTAGACACCTTTTACTTAAAGTTTGCCTGGGAACCTCATGGAGCAAACACAACGGGGTTATGTGGAAGCCCTTTTTTTTTGCTCAGCCCCCAGCAATGCGCTGGGTGCCAGAGCAAAGTCTCACTGCTGCAGGGAGGAAAAGGGGATGGCTGGTCCTCACCCCACTAAAAAAATCAAAGAATCACAGAATGGTTTGGGTTGGAAAAGGGACCTTAAAGACCATCCAGTTCCAAGCCCCTGCCCTGGGCAGGGACACCTCCCACCAGACCGGGTTGCTCCAAGCCCTGTCCAAAAGATGAATGAAAGATGAAATGCAAAAGATGAAATGCAAAAGATGAAAAATGAAATGCAAAAGCTGAAAGATGAAATGCATTACCTGATATCTGAGTCTAATGGCTCTCCACAACTGTAAAGGGGAGGCTGGTGCTGCCAGCCTGGGGGCAACAGCAGTCACTTT